CCCCCTTTAACATCCCATGTGATATTAACATCTTTCCTGCGTGAGAAAAGAACCCCTTAATAAAAAAATTAGATAGTAAAAAATATAAAAACATCCCAGTTCTGATACTATACCATGGTAGCTGCCAGTGCTACACAATTTGTGAATGACTGTGGGTATTAGTTACTCTTTTCATTGCTGTGGTCAAATGTCTGACAAAAGCAGGTGAAGGGAGTGCTTTTCTGGGCTCGCAGTGTGAGGCACAACTCATCGTGGTGAGGAAGTTATGGGAGCAGGAGCGTGAGGCCACTAGAATCTATAATCAGGAGACAGAGATGGAGGCTGGTGTCTGCTTCCTTTCTCCCTTTTACTTGGTCCAGGACCCTAGTCCACCGGATGCTGCTGCCCGCACTCAGGGTCGATCTTCCCATGTCAATTAACCCTGTTTAGAAACTCCTTCATAGTGATGCCCAGAGCCTGTGCTCTAGGTGATTCTACATTGTCAGGTTGGCAATATTAGCCATCACAGAGGGATACCTGGCCAGGAGGATGCTGGGTCATATCCATGCCTCAGGAGACTGAGTAGTGTGATGGTAGGTCTCTGGATAAAGAAACAGAGGAGGGAAACGGGAGTAGAGATGGAGTTGAGCAGGTTGCACTATGAGATAGGAAAGCAAGAACCTGCCTTTAACGAAAACTTGAAGCAGAGACCCACGAGGTGGGTCAGCTAATTGGATCCCTGGGGTAGGCATTGTGGGCAGGAGAGCAAGCCTGGGCCAGAGCATCAAGGAGGCCTGCGTGGCTGGAGAGAATCGGGCAGGACCAGCCTGTAAAGGATGAGGTCAGAGCATGAGGTTCTCTTCCAGCATGAGGATTTTGGCCTTGGGATAGAGTGAGCTGTGGAGAGCAGTGTAGCTGTGTGCTGCAAATGGCTTGCAAAGAGAAGAGGCATTAGGTGCTTAGGAGGCATCTTGGTGGCTGTTTCTTTTGAGAAACCTGAGTGGGACTGGATCTTTCGTCGCAGATGCTGTAAAATGCTATCAAATGACACAACTCAAGGGCATTATTGGATAACCGGTTCAAGCCTGTTCTCTTGTGCATATTCACACATTTATGTTTGTGTAGTATGTGTGTGTATGTGTGCTCACGTGTGTTTGTGAGGAGGGGTGCCCATGTGTGTAGAGATCAGAAGTCAACCCCAGTTGTCATGTCTCAAGTACCATACCCTTGTTTCTTGAGAAAGAGTCTCGCAGTGGCCTGGAACTTGCTCAGATAGACCAGGCTGGCTGGCCAGTGAGCCCCAACAGTCTGCTTGTCCTCCCTTCCCTAATGCTGGGATTGGAAGAATACATCACCCACCACACACAGCCTTTTGATGTGGGTGGATTCTGGGCACTGAATGTGGATCCTAGTGCTCTCTTTGCAAGCACTTTTTCAACTGAGCCATCTCCCTAGTCTGCACAAGGCTGACTTATTCTTTCTTTCTTTGAAAATTTCATGCAACATATTTTGATCATGTTCTTAAGAATGTGTTCAGTAAGCTGTCTTCTCCCCTCCACTGAGGTAGAAATCCTGTCACTAACTTTTCAGTAGGTGATAATCTTGCTTGAGAAGGACAGAGTATGGAAGCTTTTAAAGAGTCGGTTGGAGTGAGTTAAAACACATAAAATGACATTTTTTGACCCCCTCTTAGTCCCAGCTCTTTTGATTCCCAGCGTCCAGTCCATCCAGCAAGAGAGGAGATCCTGCCTGGGATGGTGGGTGATGGAGAAGCGCCTCTCCAGGGTGGGCTTGTTCCCCAGCTGTGGGGAGGTGTTTGCCAGGCGGCTGAGGATAGAGACAGTCTAATTAAACCGGGATTGATTTATTAACAGAGTTCTACTGCTCACATAATTTAACAACTCCGAGGTGTTATGGGGCCTGGGGTATTGCTAAAGAGTGCTAAGGCTCAAGATAATTATTGCCTGACTTTGGAGAGAATGACAGATGGGTCCTCATTGTCTCTGTAAATCTCGCTGGCAATTGAAGCAGGATTCTTTGTTGGGTGTTGTGTAGGGTCCTTGTTGTTGGTCCTGGGCTGCCTTGCTGGCATGTTCCCGGCTGCATTTTCCTTTGTCTCTGTTTTGCAGACCCTCCCTCCAAACCCTGCTTACTCAGCTGCAGGTCTGCCTTTGGCTTGGTCTTAACAATGGGTCTCCTGGGTCCCCTTCGTTTTCCAGCTGCCTTTCTGTTTGAATTTATTTTCTGCCAACATGCTTTTTGGTCTGGTTTGACTTAGTTAAAAAAAATCTGTTCTCTTAACCAGGCCTCTGTATAAATATTTATTTAAGACTTACATTGTGTGCCCACTTTGGGGTGTAGCCGTTAAGTGAGTCCCTTAACATATATAGATGACAACCTGCCCTCGGACAGGTGAACTCTGGGAGGCAGGAGGTCTGTCAGGAAGGAGTGATGTCCTGCAGGTGTTCTGTCACCTGGCTTGTGTGGCCATAATCACACCCTGCTCATGTAGACCATGGGACCCAGAAACTTACATGGAATAATGGTTTACATTATTATATCATATATTATAGTAACATAACATAATATATTAATAACATACACTATTGGTATATTATAATATTAATTACAGTAAGATAATATATTTACATATGATATAATATAAAATATAATAATATATTATAATAATGTGCTTTCCTATCAGCCCAAAGCACTCATGAGCTGACAGAGCAGCCTATTCCTAGATATGTGTCTGAACTCTCCTGCTAATTCATTTGGGATCTTTGCTTATCTTTATATGATACAGACATGTTTTCTCCAAATAAAAATGTCATCTGATTTGAATGGTTACATATGATGGCTGTAGAAAATGTGGAACACACAAAAGCGTAGGAAAAGTCTTCAAATATTTCCTTTAAAGATTAGCCACTGTTATCATTTGAGGGAACCAACAACAGACAAAGAAGTGATTCTGCCCAAGTGCACTTTGGTGAACCAATGAATTGGTTGGGGTTACTCAGGACAGCAGCGGTGACTCACAGGCAGCTATGTCACTGAAAAGTCTACCCCAGCGTGGGTGAACACTCATGAAAGTAGCATTTTAGAGTTCTCATTCCCTCCAGCTCCACGCGCCCCCTTGAGAAGAACAGCCCTCACGGGAAAGCCTGGCTCACAGGCACCCACACAGCCCTCTCACAGGCCTTCAGTGTGCAGTGGAGCTGATGTAGCCTGTGTCTGTCCTTCACAGTTGGGTCAGCTCCTACCCTACAAGCAGCATCTTGGCTCTGTGGTGGCTTTGGGCAGTGCTTACTCGTACAGGCATAGAGCTTCTTGGGACCTCTTCTCTGCCTTCATTGGTCACCCTCAAGCAGTCTTGTTCTCCAAACACAATTCATTCTTGCATGAGTGAGATTGGAAATGCCTTAATGAAAACCTTTTGGTTTGGTGACTGGGAAGATGGCGGTCAAGTGGTCTGGTGGTCAAGTGGTTATTTCAGAGCAATAGGAATTAAATTTGATCCCCAAATACAAAGAAAAGTTGGGTTTCTGTAGATCTCTCTGCTGGAGAGGCAGAGACAAGCACATCTCTGGGGCTTGCAGACAAGACAACCTGGCCTACTTGGCAAGCGTCAGACAAGTTTTACCAGACCTTCTCTGGTAAAACAAGGTGGGCAGTGGTGGTACACGCCTTTAATTCCACCCCTTTAATCTCAGGAGGCAGAGGCAGGAAGATCTCTGTGAGTTCGAGGCTAGCCTGCTTTACAGAGTGAATTCCAGGACCATCAGGGCTACACAGAGAAACCCTGTCTCAAAAAACAGAACAAAACAAAACAAAAAGCCAACAAACAAAAAACCCAAAACAAAATAAAAACTGAGGTAGGCAGGCCTTGAAGAATAACACTGGAGTTTTACCCTCAGCCTCCACACATGTATTCATGTACCTGCACACATACGAAGGAAGGAAAGGAAGGAAGGAAGGAAGGAAGGAAGGAAGGAAGGAAGGAAGGAAGGAAGGAAGGAAGGAAGGAAGGAAGGAAGGAAGGAAGCCCTTCGTGTAACTTTCTTTACATGGGAACAGGGCTATCTGAATCTACCCACCCCCTTCTGTTGAATTAATTCTCATCCTGGAATCAGGATGTTCTATCAGTCAGCTTTGGGCCAAAGAAAATGAACTTACTCCTTGACACTCTTGATAACCCCTCAGAGGCTACTGAGCTCTTCAGTGGGTTTTGGGCTAATGACTGTTTACAGCTGTTTAGCAGCAAGAGCTGAGAGCTGGCCACAGCGGGAAGCTGCGAGCACAGAGGCTCTGTGGAGGACCCTTCAGAGGACTCTTGACTCTCCATGCAATTTTGGCATTTTGCTCTTTGCATGTTATCAAGGAATTAGATGAAGGTGATTTTTAAGTAAATAACACATCTCTCTGAAGGACCCTGTGTTCACTAGAATTCCGTGGGCTCCCAGTGCCCTGCAGGACAGGACATGAATAACATTAATACTCTGCACGTGCTATCTTTATCTGTTCACCTGGCAGGGTGTTCCAGTGCAGTTCTGAGAGTGAAGTCATGCCACTGGACAACCACAAGTCAGAGGAATCTCACAGTAGTGGCTCTTGTTTGTGTGTGTGCAATTTGAATGTATTTGAATGTACACACACGTATGTGTGTACAAGTGCATGGATAGGCCAGAGAACAACCTTTGATGATGTGCCATCTTTTTAAGAAAAATACACAGGAGGGGCCTTTTAGCTGTGCACATCCACTGTGCCACGGTTGTGAGCACAGATGGGTTCAGAGGAGATATCAAACTGGGCCTCGAATGAAGTTGACCCTCGTATGTTTCAGAACATGGTGGGAGGGGAAAGTGTTGCATGTAGAATTTCTGAATTCTTAGCTTTTCCGACACTCATTTTTAAGATTCTGATCTCCTGAAACTTTCCCCTGGTGTTTATCTGATGAACTCACAAATGAGACCCGTGACGCACGAGGCTGCCAATCTGAATGGTGTTTTCTTTCTTTTTAGCTGTCTCCGTCATGAGGTACAGCGCCTCTGCCTTCGGGTTTGCTGTAAGTAGCACGGAATGTCCTCACCACCATGATACTCTGCACGCTTTCTCCCAGCCCGTGACTCTCGCCCCGGTCATGAAATAGACGGGTGCTCATCTAGCAGATGCGAGATGAGCAAGGTGGCCCAGCTTTAGTGAAATCAACTTCTGCGAACATGATGATGTAACAGAATGAAAGGCATCAATCAAGATGGGACAGTGCCCAAGTGTACATCCGGGACGCACACGCTCTGTGAAGGGGTTATTTGAGAGGAGGCCTTGGGGGATTTACCTCTCCCTGCCCTTCCGGTTGCTTGTGGGCCTTGCACACGGGAGGCGCACTTGCACAGATAAAGGGAGCTGAGGTGGGTTGGGGCCCACACTACGAGTGTCTGTCTGTAGCCCTGCTGAGGCGAGCTGAGTTTTCTGCCTGTCCCCTGGCGGAAACAGGTCAATGTCAGCGGTATGCTGAAAACTTGAGTGACTCGATGGATGCCTTTCCTCTTGTTGCCCAGACGTTGGGCATTCTGTACTGGGCCCCAGACCCACATCTGCCCTTTGTCCTAAGAACTTAATGTTTTCGGAGTGTTCCTATGAGTGTGTTGCAAGTTATCTTAAGAGTCTTATGAAGCGCGTAGATTGTCCCGAAAATTCCACCTGTGCACACTAGTGACCAGAACACAAAGTGCTTCTGCACACACCCAGAAATAGATACTCAGCATGTACGCACAGAGAAACACCTGTATAACACTATACACGGCCAGGCATACAGCACACCAGCACAGACACACACTCATCCAGAAGTAAATACAGCAGACACACATGTGCGTGTACACACACAAAATATGTACATATCCACACACAATATATACACACACACTCAGGAACACCTCTCTCTGTCTCCCTCTCTGTCTCTGTCTCTCATTCTCTCAAAAGCATAGAGCTGTCTATACAACTTCAAACTGTTGGTAGACTTCCTGGACCTCCTGACCTAGCTAGGACACTTCCAGTGAGAGCCAGAATTAGATTTTTTTTTTTTTTTACTTACTATGTATAGGAAAATGCTAATACCTTGCTGGTCACAGGAAAAACAATTTCACATATTTCAGAAAATAGTACCTTCCATTTTGATCGCCTGTCGCACATCTCCAGAGTTCTAGATCCCAGGGCTCTGAGAACAGAGCTAGGTCTACAAGGGCCACTTCCCTGCAGTGTGGAATGCCCAGGGCTCCGCCACGGAGCTCAAAGTGGCTGCAAGAAGCATGCAGAAATGTGTTTGCTCGAATCTTATTCAGACTCTCTAGGTCATTGTGCAGTTGGCCTGTGTGTTCATGGTTGTGCCTTGCTGACTCTGGAGAGCCACTAATGTCCTGTCTCCTTCTCTAGTTTGATGCCATCCTGGATGTGCTGTCCTCGGCCATTGTCCTGTGGCGTTACAGCAATGCGGCCGCCGTGCACTCTGCTCACAGGGAGTATATGTAAGTGGATTCTTTTTCCAGATTGCAGGAGCCTTAAAGGGAGGCCTTGCCATCACGTTCAGCAAAATCCTCCTTCATTCTTTGGCCTGATGTGGAGAAAAGGGTGCAAGTTGTCTTTGATGTTAGCTGATGGACTGTTAGCCATGAGATAGGTCTTTCCTGAGACAGTCACAGGAACACATACAGTCTTTGTCATTTGTTCAGTTCCCCAATGTAGAGTCTGGAGTGAATATTTTCTTGTCTGTACCTCTGTTTATCCATTCATCTACTTGTCCACCTGTCCATTCTTTCAAATATCCATACATCTATCTACCCATTCATTCTCACATTCATGAATCTACTCACACCCTGTCCGTCCATCCATCCATCCATCCATCCATCCATCCATCCATCATCCATCCATCTACCCATCCATCCATCCATCCATCATCCATCCATCTACCCATCCATCCACCCATCCATCCATCCATCCATCCATCCATCTACCCACCCACCCACTGGCTCATCAATCCATCCATCCATCCATCCATCCATCCATCCATCCATCCATCATCC